CATCATCATCATCACAATCATCATCACCATCATCATCATCTAAATCACCACCACCACCATCATCATCATCCTATTAAAACAGGGTTTCTCTGTGTAGTTTTGGCTATCCTGGAAGTTACTACATAGACCAGGCTGACCTAGAACTCAGTTCCTGCCTCCAGAGTGGAGGGATTAAAGGCATGCTCTACCATGCCCTCCTATTTAACTTATTTTTGTTTTACAGGAGCCACAGTTTAGAGATTTTGAAGTTTTAAGGAGACTTCAGAATTTTACAGAGACTTTGGAGTTTTAGAGAGTCTATAGATATTTTAAAGAGCTTAAACTTCGAGAGGGATTTTGGCTGTTTTAAAGAGACTGAACTGTTAAAGACTATAGGACTTTTAAAGTTATTTGTGACACACACACACACACACACACACTAATATTAACATGCCATCCTGGGGACAAATGAGAAAGGAATAATAGTTCTAGTTGAATAATGATGTGTCTGTGTACCAAATTACAATTGTGCTGGTTAGTTCTATGCCAATTGAATACAAACTAGAACCATTTTGGAAGATGGAACCTCAACTGAGAACTCCCCCACCAGATTCGCCTGTGGATAAGTCTGGGGTGTGTTTTCTTGACTGATGGTTGATGTGAGGCAGCCCAGTTTACTGTGGGTAATGTCACCCCTGGGCTGGTGGTCATGGATGTTATTGAGAAAGCAGGTTGAGCAAACCATGAAGAACAAGCCAGTAGGCATGCTTCATGGTCTCTGTGACAGCTCCTGACTCCAGGTTCCTGCCTTGAGGTCCTGATTTGATTTCACTTGATAATGGACTACAAGTTATAAGATGAAATAAACCTTTTCCTTCCCAAGTTTCTTTTGGTCTTGCAGCTTTATCAAAACAATAGAAACCCTAAGGCACCAGTCCTGCCAGAGCCACCAGGGGGCAGCATTACCAAGCCAGAGCGGGTGCTGTCAGCGTGAAAACAAGACTGAAGGTGCCTGACCCACCCCAATGTCTTTTCTTCCTGGGACAATCCTTTGAAACATTCTCTAAACAATTACCTGCCTTAGGTATCGTGCAGTCATGGAGCCTTGCTTTACAAATAATTTTATGCATACAAATGTATTATTTGATTTATTATTATTATTTTGCCTCGGCATAGTGTGGAAACCCTGACAATTCCCCTGCCTCAGTCTCTTGAATGCTGGGTTTACAGGTGTGAGCCTCCATGCCTGACTTTTTTATTAAATTTATTTAACTGGGGTAGTGCACATGGCATGTATGCGGAAGTCAGAGGAGAACCCCAAGTGTCCCTGACCTTTGCTTTGCTTGAGACAAGTTCTCTTGTTTTCCACCGTGTATACCAGACTAGTTGGCCCAAGCACTTCTAGAAAGTCTCCCTCTCAGCCTTCCACCCTGGCATGGGAGCATTGAGATCACAGACGCCCTGCCACATCAGGTTTTTCATGGTTCTGAGGATCCAAACGTAGGTCTTCACACTTGTATAGTAAGTACTCTACCCATAAACCCATCTTGCAAGCCCCTACAATTCAGCCTTAATTGACTCTATAACTGATTGTATATACACAGGTCCTGGCGGAGAGTCCTACTGGATATGCCACTAGGGATTAGGTCAGTGGGCTGAAAACCTTCATCTCCCAGAACTTACCCTTCTGCGCTCGTGCAAACTCCATGCTCCTCTCCTTGGGTCTCGTAGGATTTGTGGCAGGTTCTCTCCAAGGCTCACACCTTGTGTCTTGGCTCTGTTCTCCTTCCTGCCCTCATCCAGCGACCACTCTTCTGCCCTCTGCAGATCAGTTGTTTTTACCCACGTTTGTATTTCCAAATCGTAGAAAAGCTCCACGCAGGTTGCACAGGTGCCGCTAGCTCCTAACACCTACATCAACTTTCCTGCATTTGTCCTAATATCACTCTCCCTGCCCCATCCCCTCACGGCTATTTTGTTTTCATGCACCTTCAGAGAAAAAGAGGCAAGCAACATGCTGCTTCTAAGACCTCTAACAGTACTTTGAGGGCTGGGAGTGGTGGTGCATACCTTTAATCCCAGTCAGGAGGCAGAGACAGGCAAATCTCTGTGAGTTTGAAGCCAGCCTGGTCTACAGAGCATATTCCAGGACAGCCAGGGTTGCACAGAGAAACCCTGACTCAAAAAAGAAAAAAAAAGTACTTTGAAGCTGGGCCATGGTGGTACACGCCTTTAATCCCAGCACTCGGGAGGCAGAGGTAGGCAGATCTCTGTGAGTTCGAGGCCAACATGGTCTACAAGAGCTAATTCTAGGACAGGCTCCAAAACTACAGAGAGACCCTGTCTCATAAAAAAAAAGTACTTTGAAAGTAAGTGATACTCAGTAACCACAGTCAAACTTAACCGGGAAGAAAGGACGTCCATAGAGCTCCTGCCATGGACAGAAGAACATGTCCATCTTCAGTGTTGCAGGTTCTCTCCCTTCAGTGTTGCAGGTTCTCTCCCTTCAGTGTTGCAGGTTCTCTCCCTTCAGTGTTGCAGGTTCTCCCCCTTTAGGGTTGCAGACTCTCTCCCTTCAGTGTTGCAGGTTCTCGCCCTTCAGTGTTGCAGGTTCTCGCCCTTCAGTGTTGCAGGTTCTCTCCCTTTAGTGTTGCAGGTTCTCTCCCTTCAGTGTTGCTGGCTCTCCCCCTTCAGTGTTGCAG